CGTGTGTGTGTGTGCGTGTGTGTGTGCGTGTGTGTGTGTGTGTGTGTGTGTGTGTGTGTGTGTGAGTGTGTGTGTGTGCGTGCGTGTGTGCGCGTGTGAGTGTGGGTCTGTGTGTGCATGTGTGTGTTACCTTTGACGCTGACTTTGTGCTCTCCAGTGCCGGGGTGTGAGATCAGGTCCACCTGGATGGCGACCTCCCCGATGGATCCAGACGTGGACTGACCTGGAATCAGTTTTGAGACACATGAACATCATACAGTATGTCAGATAAGAGCATGCATTACACACTGAACACACACTACACTAAATAAATACACAATAAATCCATAGATAGAGTGATTAATGAAATGTGCTTCAGCTTGACATACGAGACTGTTGTGATTAATTATGTTTTAGAACATTATCTGCCAAGACAAATAAACCAACATATAAACACACACAAATAATAAAAAATGATAATAATTTATAACCAAGATATGTAAAATCTGTTCACACACAAAAAAATCTAGATAGATAGATAGATAGACAGACAGATAATCAGACACACACACACACACACACACACACACACACACACACACACACACACACACACAATGTTACAAAAAGAAAGAAAACATACATATAAACAAAATAATAATAATTTATAACCTACTTTAAAAAAAATATAAGAACTGCTACAAAAATATAAATATGAACAAAACATATACAAAATAGAACGCACGCACGCACACACACACACACACGCACGCACGTACGCACAAGCACACGCACACACACCTTGTATTTCTCACTTCTGTATATACTAATTCTTTCTGATACAACAATATAAACCAACTTATACTACACATAAGAGAAGCTCAAAAATACAAAACTGGTGTTAAGTAGCATTTAGTTAGTCAATAAAGCTAATCAAGTTGCTTAACTTTATTAGAGAGAAATTGGAGAGCTGCAGATGCTTTAAGGCTGTTTTGAAAAAAAAAAAATAAATTAAAATGAGTCATTGCTATCTTTACGAAAAGTCAATATAATCTATCCTAAGAGAGATTAATTTCCCCTCGATTCATCTTTAATAGCTGTAGACTGTCAAACCCCAGAATTCACAATCCCATAACTCTAGTCTAATGGATTTCGAGATGGTTGTTGGTTTAGACTATATTTTTGGAAAAATTTAACTCAGTCCTCTCTGGAGTAGATCCAGACAGATCGCTCTGAACGGGAGAATAATGGAGGAGTGAACGCTGTGTTTTGTATCTTTGCATTTGGCCTTCAAGGTTTGCAGCAAACAGGGAAACTGTCAAGGCCACATCTAGCCAAACTAACTCTAACTGAAGATTTATTTTCCAGGCTGGAAATGCAAACAAACTTAAACAATAATGCTAATGAACACTAATCAAACTGTTGCAATTGCAATTAATGATAAATATTAAATTATTAGTAAATCAACAGGTGGTAAATTAACTTTAGAACATTGTCTGCAAGGAAAATAATTGCTAACTATTATAATAACAAATACAAAAAATATAATAATATTAATCAATCCTATTTAATTTATTTAAAATTGTTATATTATCATATACAGTATATTATATAAATAGCCTAAATTTGCTTGATCACTTTACCAATGCACCAATAAATCACTATATAATTGATATTAACTAGTAACCAACAATATTTATTAAAGTATAATAATAAAGAATAAACCGAGATGGTAAATTCAATTTAGAACATTATCTGCTAGGAAAAGCATTGCTAACTAGTAATAAGCATACATACAAACACAAAATAATAATAATAATAATAATAATAATAATAATAATAATAATAATAATAATAATAATAATAATAATAATATTATTATTATACTCAATTATATTCAATATATTATACAATATGCAGCGTGCAATATGCATATATTGTTATATGTATAATAAAAATAACTTTTTATATAATATTGTTTATTTATTCTATTCTATGAAAACATTTCCCACTTCTCACAGATAAGTCATACAATAAGTACAAAAAAAGCACAGAAATATATGAAATAAGCCATTTTAGATTAAAAAAAAAAAGTTTACAATAATGCTACAAATGATAAAGTCTGAAAAATGTTGTAATCACCAAAATTTTATTGCATAAACTTATGCATAATTTTGACATTAAGTTTTTTTTAAAGGGTTCATATCATGAAGAATCAAATTTGCATTGATCTTCTTAGACTTTCAGGACTCAAGGAGAAAACCAAAGTAATAGTAATAAAAAAAATGCCTGATATGACCACTAAAATCAAAAACAATCTCTTCTCTCCTCTGTAGACTATCAGACTGAAAAACTTCAGTCCAGAATCATTCAGTGACAGGCTCTCGTCCATCTCTCAGACCCACAGGACACATTTTCACAGACAAAGAAAATAAAGCTGTCTCTGGAGGGAATTTAAAGTGAGTCCAGAAAGAACGAGCTGCAGGAGATGTTCCCTTGATTACTTCCAGAACTTGTCTGAAGGAGTCAGAGGTCACAGCAAACTATGGAAGTGCTTATTAAATTGTGTTGATATTCCTGCATAGGCAGACTTAGACTTCTGATGAACACATAATTTAAATCAAGGCGAAATAACCTGCTTTATATTTCTCAGTGGGTTTGCACATCATTATCACTTCATATCATCATCTGATTGAAATGCAGGGCAACATATCTAGGAAGATGCACACAAATGTATTTGCAACTGTAGATTGTGGGTAAGGTAGAGGCGTAGAGGCACACACACACACACACACACACACACACACACACACACAAAGATTTTGTTCATCTTTTTTATATGTCTCTTTTGCTCACCAAGGCTGCATTTACTTAAAATTCAAAATCACTTTTCTAAATTAATATCTGTTAAAATGTAATTTATTTCTGTGTTCCAAAACCCGACACATGATCCTACAGAAATCATTCTAATATGCTGATTTGCTGCTCAAGAAACATTTCTGATGTGCCAGTTGGTGTTGAAAGCTCAGTGGAGGAAGTTAGTACAGCGATTGGAAAAGTTGTTGGATATAATAGCATATGGTCTGCATCAAGGATGAACAGCGCTGTCATCTTGTTTTTAGACAATGAATGAGTTTGTTGAAAAAGGAATAACATTGAATGATACACTCTAAAAAATGCTTTGCATTGGGTCAAATATGGACTAACTCAGCTGTTGGGTTATATCTTTTAATTAAATTTTTAACCCAAAAGTTGGGTTAGTCCATATTTGACTCAAAGTTGGGTTGAAACAACCCAGCATTTGTTTTTTAGAGTGTATATATGATATTGAAACATTTCTGATTATTATCAATGTTGAAAACAGTTGTGCTACCAAGTATTTTTTAATTTATTGTATTTTTGATCAAATAAATGCTTAAGAGACTTCTTTCAAAAACATTAAAGATCATAATTATTCCAAATTTTTTGACTGCCAATGTATAAATACATATATAATGCTGTTAGATTCAGTTTTAGCTCAGTTTAAAGACACTTTTCCTAACAGTGCATTAAAAAATGAGTGTGACGTGTCTGCTGCGTAAAATCCCTAGAGATTCTCCATCTGAACCAAAAGAGCCCAGATATCCCAGAAATCCATCACCTGCGCTAACAGAAAACCCCAGAACTGCAGTGATCAATAACTCTAAACATGAAGTTTGATTAATTATAAACACACATCCTCAACTCAACACACACAAAACTGTGCATCACACATTAGAAATCATATTCTGTCTGCAGCCTTTGGCCTTAGGAGAGAGAGAGAGAGTACTGCACAATACTGTATATACTGTATGCTATTAAAAATAAGTGTTTGAAATAGTATTTTAGCTCAAATAGTAGTATGGTTGTCACATGACCTCATTTAGTTGCATGTTTAAGTCAAGTTGAACAAGTGAAGTTCATTTACTATCTTCAAAATAAATAGTTTGCCAAACTTACTGTCTGTTGGCAGAACAATAAAATAATGAGTTAAGAAGAAATATCGCTTCTGGTTCACTGGTCATGATGGAAAGTCAATTCAAGCAAACTGCATTGTGGGCAGGCACGATGGCTCTGTTCCAAAACCTGCTGTGTAGTGTCTTAGCAACTGCCTTCACAGTGTTGTTGTTAACTAAAAATTATTAAACATTTCTTTATTTGAAATCAAAATGAAATAAACTAGTAATATTAATATAATAGATATATTGCCTTAGCAACTAACTGAAAAAAGATTAAGTAATACAATTACTAAAAGTAAAACTGAAATAATACAATTATAAATTACAATAGAAAATTAATTATAGTTAAATAAAAAAAAAAGACAGATAAAAATTAATAAATCAACTACATAATTACTAAAACTGAAATAATATGCATCACATAAATAGAAATATTACAAATAATTGAAAGATGATTTTCACTAAAAAAAAATAAAAATAAATACAAACAAAAGCACAAAACAAAATGACTAAAATTAAAATAAAAATCTGAGTTACAAAAAATAAGTGTTTCTTGCGTGGGCGTTTGTGGAGCGAGTGGAGAGTGAATCGAAGTGTGACTGAAGCTTTTTCTCAATTTTACGGTCTGTTACTTTTCTTTTTTATGTGTGTATTGTTGCTATATCTTGTAGCTTTGGTGTGTGAGTGATTGCAGAGGGAAAGGAGCATTTTTTAGAGTGTAGCTTTGTGATAGTGTTTCCTCTCGTTAATCCAGAGAAGTAAGTATTGTTGTCAAATGTGCCTCCTTTCATTAAGGATGAAATTATAGAAAGGGAACTTTCAAGACATGGTCAGATTGTCTCAGCCTTAAAAAAGATCCCTCTATAGGCTGTAAATCGCTATTGGTGAAACATGTTTCGTTCAGGAGACAAATATACGTGGTACTGAAGAGTGGTGTAGAGGATTTGAATATTGCTCTGAAGTTCAGGATCGACGGGTTTGATCATGTGACTTTTGCATCGACTGAAAACTTGAAGTGTTTTGGATGTGGCAAAGAAGGACATTTAATGCATTCATGTCCAGAAAAAGAAACTCAAAATAATGGTACTGTGGAAAGGGCCGAGGAAGAAAATAACACAGAACAAGTGATTGTGAGTGGTAACAACAGAAAAGAGCCTGAGAAAGGAACAAATGTGACCATGGAGCACAAAAGCAGTCATAAGTAGCACAGGTATATTTGTAGCAATAGCCAACAATACATCGTATGGGTCAAAATTATAGATTTTTTTTTATGCCAAAAATCATTAGGATATTAAGTAAAGATCATGTTCCATGAAGATATTTTGTTAATTTCCTACCGTAAATATATCAAAACTTAATTTTTGATCAGTAATATGCATGGCTAAGAACTTCATTTGGACAACTTTAAAGATGATTTTCTCAATATTTAGATTTTTTTGCACCCTCAGATTCCAGATTTTCAAATAGTTGCATCTCAGCCAAATATGTCCTATCCTAACAAACCATACATCAATGGAAAGCGTATTTATTGAGCTTTCATATGATATATAAATCTCAATTTCATAAAATTGGCCCTTATGGCTAGTTTTGTGGTCCAGGGTCACAAATATGGACAAGAAACTGGGGCTTGTGGAGAACCTTACAGTGTTGATGACATATCAGGTTCGGACAGTGAGAGAGAATCTTCTGATTCATTTACTAATGTGAATATGAAGAAAGATTTTAGTGGCTGTAGTTTGGAGAAAGTGAGAAGCTTTCTACAGTCTACCAATGGGAAGCGGAATGTTGAAGTCACTGATTACTTCCCTGATCAGACCTTGTTTATTGAATCAGCCAGATGAGACAAAGAGGGGAAAACTGTCTATCCAATCCAGATGTGTATCGGCTGAAAAAAATACGCAGAGGACAATTTTCCAGCAATGATGATTTCTCCGGATTTACCAGATACGGAACTGTCCTTTAACAGTATCAAACAATTTGAAGGACAGAAATATTAAGTTTACTTGTGGAAAATATTTTTATAAGGTGTGTGTAAAGGTGTTGAACAGAAAACAGTTGGTACATCGTTCTGATAATTCATGGTGAAGTCATTGATGTGTTGCTTCTAATTTTAAATCAATGTGGGGTACGTTATACAAGCCACCATTGACAAAATGTATTGGAGATTTGCAGTGGAGGATTTTGCATGGCATTGTTGCAGTTAATGCATTTAATTTCTATTTTGAATCCCCAAGTAATAGACAGTTGTACTTTTTGTGGGCAGAGTGAAACTATTTTTCATTGATGTTGGGTTAGTCCATATTTGACTCAAAGTTGGGTTGAAACAACCCAGCATTTTTTAGAGTGTAGCTTTGTGATAGTGTTTCCTCTCGTTAATCCAGAGAAGTAAGTATTGTTGTCAAATGTGCCTCCTTTCATTAAGGATGAAATTATAGAAAGGGAACTTTCAAGACATGGTCAGATTGTCTCAGCCTTAAAAAAGATCCCTCTATAGGCTGTAAATCGCTATTGGTGAAACATGTTTCGTTCAGGAGACAAATATACGTGGTACTGAAGAGTGGTGTAGAGGATTTGAATATTGCTCTGAAGTTCAGGATCGACGGGTTTGATCATGTGACTTTTGCATCGACTGAAAACTTGAAGTGTTTTGGATGTGGCAAAGAAGGACATTTAATGCATTCATGTCCAGAAAAAGAAACTCAAAATAATGGTACTGTGGAAAGGGCCGAGGAAGAAAATAACACAGAACAAGTGATTGTGAGTGGTAACAACAGAAAAGAGCCTGAGAAAGGAACAAATGTGACCATGGAGCACAAAAGCAGTCATAAGTAGCACAGGTATATTTGTAGCAATAGCCAACAATACATCGTATGGGTCAAAATTATAGATTTTTTTTTATGCCAAAAATCATTAGGATATTAAGTAAAGATCATGTTCCATGAAGATATTTTGTTAATTTCCTACCGTAAATATATCAAAACTTAATTTTTGATCAGTAATATGCATGGCTAAGAACTTAATTTGGACAACTTTAAAGATGATTTTCTCAATATTTAGATTTTTTTGCACCCTCAGATTCCAGATTTTCAAATAGTTGCATCTCAGCCAAATATGTCCTATCCTAACAAACCATACATCAATGGAAAGCGTATTTATTGAGCTTTCATATGATATATAAATCTCAATTTCATAAAATTGGCCCTTATGGCTAGTTTTGTGGTCCAGGGTCACAAATATGGACAAGAAACTGGGGCTTGTGGAGAACCTTACAGTGTTGATGACATATCAGGTTCGGACAGTGAGAGAGAATCTTCTGATTCATTTACTAATGTGAATATGAAGAAAGATTTTAGTGGCTGTAGTTTGGAGAAAGTGAGAAGCTTTCTACAGTCTACCAATGGGAAGCGGAATGTTGAAGTCACTGATTACTTCCCTGATCAGACCTTGTTTATTGAATCAGCCAGATGAGACAAAGAGGGGAAAACTGTCTATCCAATCCAGATGTGTATCGGCTGAAAAAAATACGCAGAGGACAATTTTCCAGCAATGATGATTTCTCCGGATTTACCAGATACGGAACTGTCCTTTAACAGTATCAAACAATTTGAAGGACAGAAATATTAAGTTTACTTGTGGAAAATATTTGTATGAAGTGTGTGTAAAAGTGTTGAACAAAAAACATTGTTGGTACATTGTTCTGATACTCCATGGCAAAGTAATTTATTTAAGAAGGTTTTAAGAAGTCTAAAATAAAGAAAAGAATGGGGCGTTTGCTGAATTTTATTAGAGGTCAAGCAAAGATGTCTATTTATTTAAGTGGAAAACAGAAAATTGATTTTGGAAATAGCTGTAATATAGTTACGTTTTTTAAAGGACTTGTAAAAACAAGAATTAAACATGATTTTTCTTCTTATTCTTGTATGAAAAATCTACTGGACTTTGAAATGATTTGGACAAATGGAGAAGCACTCTGTAAAGTTGATAATAATGCTTTAATATTTGGTGATATTATAAAATGAAATAATATGTGAAAGATTTTAAATGTATAATAAAGTTTTTAAAATAAAAATAAAAAAATCTCTCTCTCTCTGTATTTCGCTCTCTGTCTCTCTCTCTCTCTCTCTCTCTCTCTCTCTCTCTCATGACAGCGAGAATGCTCTTACCTTGAGAGGTTTGGGTGCATATATATTTCTTGATCAAGGCATCTGTGGGTTGAGTGTAAAGGCTGAGGGCGTATTTCAAGGACTTGAGATCGGGGCTCTTCTCCAGGAAGGTTTTCTTGAGACCGTTTCCACCCGCATGGAAATATTGCTGAACGGAGAAACAAGCGCACTGGTTACTGAGAGACTCAAACATGTTGCATGTATCTGCAAATCACTCATCCTTCACTCAGAAAACACCTGAAAAACATCTATTCACTGTGACAGAGTAAATGAGTCATATACAGAATCAGGGTTACTGGATATATTGGATGAAATATTAAAGTCAATTTACAAAGACGGAAATCAAGTGCTTCTTCATTGACCTTTAAATGTCTAAAACATTGTAAATACTTTTTAATGTGGGTCGAATAAAATAAAATATTGGCTTGGCCTACACTGAGAAAATTGGTATAGGATTTACTTCAAAACAATTTTCACTCAGAAATTGCTAGTAAATTTCACAAATAATTACAAAGAAGTAACATTGA